GACGAGAGGAGAGCGGAATAGAGGAGAGGAGAGGAGAGGATAGGAGAGGAGGTAGAGGGGAAGAGAGGAGAGAAGAGTTGAGGAAATAGAGGAGAGGAGAGAGAATGGAAGAGAATGAAGGATGAGAGACGATGGAATAGGAGAGAGGAGAAAGAAGGAGAGGAGTCAGGAGGCGCTCCACCGCCTAACACCCAAAACCTGCTAGCTGAAGCTGCTAGCGCGCCTGCCGTACAAACAACAGTGACGCTCCGTCTGCCCCACTGGCGGGGTACCCACTGCAGGCAGAATGGGGAGCGGTGGCTCACCTGTCGTTAAAGCCGAGCCTTTCCAGGGACGGGCCTGGTATGCAGCGTCAGGGACCGGCCTACCTGGGAACCGGAGAGGCCTCCAGCCGAGAGGGGACCGGGCGGCTGTCACACGCCCGTGTGGGGTCCGAGCGGGGCCCATACTCCATTCTGATCACGAATACGGACCGAGTGCAAAAACGGCCGAGGGACACATGGGACAGACAGAGGAGGAGGGTACAGGTAGGTGTTTGGTAGGGTGGCATTGTGAGGGATACGGGAGGTGACTGTAAAAATCGACAGTTAGGGCAGGTCTGCTGTGAGCACAGAGGACTGAGGAGGGTGGGTGATGGCAAGGTCACTTTTGTGAAAGCGTTATATGACAAGGTTGTGGTATTTTTATTTCCTCACTTTTTCTTCTTATTGCTTACTACTAGGTTACAGCTGAAGCTATTGGTTACAAATATAAGTGGCTCTGTTTCTTTTGATTTTAGTGAAACGCTGATCGACGACGCGGCAACAAATATAGCACCCTTTTCATGAGTCATACGCTGCTTTTCGGGGGGGATGAGGAGGAAGGATTTAAATTTGCACGCTTTTCATGTCGCCGCATCTCGACAGGGGGAGGAGGGAAGGAGTTAACGGTAAGCAAGGGTACAAGTGCGGTGATGACGGAATATGTTTTTTTTTGACGACCTATATATGGACTTTGAGGCGAATGTTAGCCCGTAACTGATGAAGAAATGGTCCCTGATCCTTATTGGCAGGTCTATGTATATCCCATCGGTATTCCATATCAGTATCAAATCGGATGCTTATTGCTTATGCGACTCCTGCTTAGTACTAATCCGGTGGGATGGGCATTTGCACCTGTTATTTTACAAATTTGTAGTCAATCGGTTCGCCCATGCGTTTTTACGATCATGCAATCGTGTTTCTGTACAGTCTATTCTCAGAAGTATTATCCAGAACTGCTCTAGACAAAGAACTGCAGATTCGCTATACGAGGAGACGGCCTTGAGCCGATCGAGTATGCACGTGAGAAGCTGACGTCCCAATGTTATCCTGTACGGCGCTATGTAACATTTCATCCAATAGATGGCAGCAGTAGTAACGCCTGAAGTTAGGCTGTGCCGCACTGCAGCTTGCGCTATGTGATATTTCATCCGCTAGATGGCAACGGTAGTAACGCCTGAATGTAGGCTGTGCCGCACTGCGGTTTGCGATGTGATATTTCAACCACTAGATGGCAGCAGTAGTAGCGCCTGAAATTAGACTGTGCCGCATTGCAGCTTGCGCCATGCTAGGTATATTTTAGCCGCTAGATGGCAGCATTAGTAACGCGTAAAGTTAGGCTGTGCCGCAGTGACCTGTGACGGCACACCATAACTCTTCGATGCTCTGTAAAGTGCGCCACAGCCCACAACTACGGCTGCTGTGGCTTCAGTGACGCAATGCGAATGGTTGCGCTTTAGACTTCGCTTGTTCCCGTTTATTTTCGCCCCCTGTCCGTCGGCTTTTGCGCCTCCACAGGCGCTCGGGCTGAATGGCTGTTCGGTGTCCGCTCTCGTCGGAAGTGGGCGCCAAACTATTTGTATGTGTGAGACTGATCTCAGTCGGCACCAGACTGGTCTGTATGAGCGTCGGACTGGTCTTTTTGAATGCAGCGTAGTCTGCAAACTTGTGGTTGGTTGTGAAACTAGTCTCTGCGCGCCTCGGCCGTTTTGCAGCTCGTTGAACGGCTGACTGAATGGATGCTGGACCGCAGCCGGATTGGAGGGCCCTGCGCCGTCTTTGACATCGGACAACGAACTAAGCATCACTGCAGCGGAATTGCCCCGGCTCCGCTTTGGTGCATTCCGCTCGTAGTCGGGCTCCATCCCACTTATGTCCCTCCTCTCCTCCCAGCATGTGCTTACTGATCAATCTGAGATGGATCATGCAGTATACTTGTCCATTGATCTTATTTGTCTGCATATCTCGATGACACTGGCGACTTGCTTGTCTGACGCTGTCATACAGAAGTCGATACTAGCCGATAATCTGTCCTATCTGCTTTGCAGCCATATGTTACCTGCCTTCGTGAATGGTTACGTTTCATGGATGCACATTCCACTCCCCATGAATGGCACTGTCCTCGCCTGGTAACCACTCCTCCCGGAAGACCAACGCGACCTTCGGGTAGTTGGCAGCTCCGGGTCGACGCTGACTATGTAGACTTGGAATCACAATGCCGCGCCGTCTACACCCGCATCCGCGCCCGCGTCCGTATCCGTGTATGTGAGCCGTTCATGGCTTTGGTGGCGACTTTGGTTGTCTTTGATCAGCCGTTTGTGTCTCGGTGGTCCTTGCCTACGTCCGTCTCCGTAGTCCGTCTATTTCCCTGTCCTAACCCGTGGCCGTTTGGTCATTGGTGGGGACTCAAAGCCCGCCTGTGTGCCAGCCTTTGTCCATCTGTTCCCCGGTCTGTCGGTGTGTCTGCGGGTGCAGCCGCCGCGCGTCTCAGTCCCGCTGCACGGCCCGGCCCGGCCGTCCAGCTGATGTCATCGCCGGCCCCGCGGCTCCACAGTGACCGTGGCCCGCTCCCCGTACCGGCACCGTGCCCACCGGCCGTACCCGCCGCGCACCGGCCGCCTCCGTCAGCTCACGGCGGCTCCCTGCCGCCACTGTTGGGATTTCCATCGTCCGCCCAGCCCAGCCCGTCCGGCCCGGCTGGGCCCGGTGCTGTATGGAACGGGTGTGTCCGACCGCGCCGCGCCGGTCACGGGCTCCCACGAGTGACACGAGCTGTCGCGGCCCGCTGACTGATCGGCTGGGAGTGGTCGGCGAGCCCGGACAGGCCCACCGCGGGATGGCTGAATCCTGGTATAGCTGAGCGGTGCTGAGCTGGGGCTGATCTCAGGCGGCGCTGATCCCCAGGGGCGCCGTTCGGGCTAGCTCGCTCTGCTGTGGGGTCTTTCGGGGTTTCCCATGCCCAGGGGCTGAGCGGCCGGCTGTCCGGCACCCCGGTACCTACCGCCGGCAGTCGCGCCTATTGCAGCCCGGGCCTCAGTACCGTGTATTGTTCTGTCTGCCACATCCGGCCTACACAGACACAGCCGGAAGGGGCGCGCTCTGTGGAGGGGGTCGAGGTCACCGGCTGGTCGCTGTGGCCTTGTCACTCGGCCTCTGATGTAGCCGCTGACGGCTGACCGGCAGCACTGACTGCTGATAATGAGGTGATCATGTGCCGTCGTCTGTGGTTGGATAGACTGCTTGTGGCGCTTTGGCTGGGAGTCAGTCCTGGCTCTGCCCGGTCGGGCTAACTACGCTGTTCACTATTCACGGTGACTCAAACTCCCTGACCGGTGCCGTGGGTGCTCTCGTGGGTGTTGATATCACCTGCCTCTGGGAGCGTATCGGTCATCGGCTGCACCTGCTGCTTCGGGCAGCCGCCGGCTCTACTGCACCCTGCCGTATGAACGAACCAGTGACGTCACCAGGTGGTACCGGCCAGTGACGTCACACCTTCCCTGACAAAGACCTCCGATGAGTACGCACGTTCGGCCAGGTGTGCTGTGTGAAATCTACCACACTCTGCGCCTCAGTGACGGCTGATAACACGTCGCTGTCTGCCGCGGCACCAGCCAACGACAATAGCCTGTTTTCCGACACCCAGCTCTACCAGGAAATGTTTGTCACTGCCGGCTCGACGGAGGCTAAGCGGCGTGCTCGACACTGTGTTGTGTTGACGGGCGACGGCTCTGGTTGGCCTTGGTGGCTCCAATCAGCAGAGCGGAGTCAGCTGAGAGCGGCCCGACCCCGGCCCCGGTCCGGCGGAGCACGAGTCGCTCTTGCGTCACCGGGTTGTTGCCATTCATCTCCGTGCTGCCCCGGCCGCCAGTGGCGGTTAGGGTGACATCAGAGACGATGAGGTCACTCCGCGGCCCCGGCTAGTCGCAGTCGGTCATGGGAATCGACGAAAGTAATACCCACCAAGGTCATCTTGCTACCCCGAATGGAACATGATGCTCCTCAAGGTAGTAGCTTTCAGAATGACAGCTAGTAAACTGGAATCGAGTGTTTCACTTTTTATGCGCTTATTTTGGAAGTGGGATTAGGTACATAAGACAAATCAGTACCTGGTATCTTATTTATTTCGGATATAATAATCCTGGCTTAGGGCTACAAAAATGGTCTGTGAGAGAGACAGTGAATGGGAACAATACCATAACATATCATCTTTTTATAGAACTAATCTGCAGAACGCAAAAAGTGATGCTTAAAATAGGCTGGAAAGCAAACAAATGCGATATCAAACCAAACAAACGTTGAACCGCCTGTTCTGTTCAGTGTCTTTTAAGCTTCCAGCCTTTTATGCTCGTTGTGTGGCCCCTGTTTATGCCGTGTGTGCTCCGTGTGGACCCCGTGTCCGCCGTTTGGCCCCTGTGTCCTCTGTGTAGACATCTGTGCCCGCAGTGCAGGTCCTGTGTCTGTCGTGCGGCCCCTCATATTGTCCACACTCGCCGACCGTCCAGCGATGAGCGTTGCAATCGTCTCCATTCATTTTAAAACGGCTGTTGCTCGCTGAGTGAATCATGTCTCCAGTGCTGAAGGACGGGGTCGTGAAGGCCGGTCGGCTGACGAATAATCATGCAGTGCCGTGTTGATGTACGGGAAGGAAGGGTTGTCACCCCGGCCGCACCCGGTCTAATTTCCCTATCTGTGTCCTTGCAGCCACCTCACCCAGACCACCACTTGGGACGACCCGCGGAAGAAGCCCGGCCAGGGAGCGCCCGAGGGCAGTCAGGACGCGTCTCCGGCCGGACCTGTCACCTCCTCTGCCGGCGACACCGCCGCAGCGAGAGAAGGTGGGTGCGCCGGGATGACTTGTGGAGATTGCAAGGTCGTGCAGGTTTGCACAACTCCGGCCCGGGTTTGATTGTTATCGAGACGTGTTGGTTGAATTAGGCACAGACTGTGGGTAAAGCTACAAACAGGTGTTCTCTGCTCGACTTGCTTTCTTCAGCTAACAGGTGTTTGCTCTGCTTTGTGGTTCAACGATTAAAACTTTGTTCTGTTGCTGACATTCAGCATTGTAAATTATAATCAATCTGACACCTGCCTTCTAGCTCAGTAAAGATTGTCTTGTGCTGCTTCTCACAGCTTTTCTGTTCCATCATAAAACGATGTTCATTTTCCACTTGTCAATGCTGACGTCTCCACTGTGCTGGATATTGCTGCCTTTGGCTGACCGTCTCAATCCTCTCCGTACCAGGTGCGACGGTGCCGGTCTCACAGTCTCAGCAGCAGCCGCCTCCGCCGCCGCCGGCGCAGCAGCAGCAGCAGCAGCTTCAGCAGCAGCTGCAGCAGCTGTCGGTGGACGCAGCCGGCGCGGACGGCGCCTGCCAGCCGCTGGGCCCGCTGCCCGAGGGATGGGAGCAGGCCGAGACGGACGAGGGAGAGGTGTACTTCATCGACCACCGCACCCGGCACACATCCTGGTTCGACCCCAGAATACGTGAGTCTAGCACCAGACCTCCTGGTTTGACTCCAGAATATGCGAGTCCGTCCCCAGGTTACGTTCCCCAGGCTACGTTAGTCCCTCCCCAGATTGTATGATCCATGGCCCCGTAGTACGTGAGTTCAGCAGCTCAGCTCCATATCTCTTGATTCAACCCGCAGAATGCGTGAGTCCAACGTGAATGCGCGTATCTGTTGTCCAGCCGCAGAATACAAAGTCATTTATCTCCTGGCTCTACCCTAGAACGATATACACGTAGAGCCAGACTTGCCAAGCTCGGTACTCTGCCTCATTTTGCTCTTCTTTTGTGGTTGTTTTATCCTGCTAGTAACTTCCTGTCCTGGAAGATGTCTATTTTGCTCAAGTTTAAAGTTTCCCAGGAACTTTTCGCTCGCCGGAAGTTTTTCTTTACACGAGCCAAACCCTTTTCAGATCAGGAGTTATTGTTGGTCGGTATATGCTGACACAACCCCCCACGACCTTCCGATGGATTCATCTTTGATCATCGGACTTTTGTTGACTTGATTCAGTTGACCCCAGCCTAGGCAATTCATTCATTTCCAGCCCCCGCCATCGGTAGTGGGGTGTTGTACTTTCCTCTACGGTTGCCCGGTCTCCCGTTTCTCTATGCCTCACCTGACGGACTAGACCAGGCGGTCCGGGCCTGACCAGACCGGACCGGGGCGGACCGGAGGCGGGCCGGACCGATCGCGGAAGGATGTGGCCTCACACGGCGGTGGTCTCGCGTGACTCAGCGCTCACCCTGCCCCGTTCGGTCCTCACGTGATGGTTGCACGGGTGCAGGTGCAGCGGAGGAACGGCACGGACGGTGTGATGGGATCTTTATGTGGTGTTCTGTCTGTCTGGCTTCCCTGTCATTGAACAGTAGAGAGTGATGCAATAATTTGATGGTACGATTGGCACAGGAAGTCTTTGATTGGCGTATTTATTTGCTTTGTGTTTGATCCCTATTTGGTACCGGTTGAAGGAAGTGAAAATGATGAATTTAGGGTCAGCTTACTGCCCCAACCAGGTGTGTTAGTTAACGGTGTGTCTGTTGACCGGAAAAGTCTGTTTTCCGCGGTCCCTGAAACGATTGTTCCGATTCTTTACTTGTTTATCGACTGTCCACTGCCGATGTGCTCTGCGATTGTCAACATCCCCCAGCACCTGTATTGTTTGAGTTGGTCACCGTTATCTGGGTGCGGCGGCGGGGCATCCTGTGTCAGCTCCTGATCTCCGATGGTAGTCAGTAGTCACGCCGGTTCACCAGATGGCGTCCGTTTCGCCGAGCTATTTGCACACTGATCTGCTAATTCCATGTTGATTCCATGTCCGCCACGCACAGTACTGGTCGTTTCCCATTGCTACGGTGTTCTTCCCTACAAGCATTCAGTTGTTCTGTAGACCTGTCCACAGCGAACGCTACCGCCCTGTCCAAAATAGCGTCGGACGTTGTTGACAGTCACTATCTGCCACGTGTGGTAGATAACCCGTGAGTGGCCGCATTACCCATATCGTTATCTGGTGTTCCACATGGCGTCCCATGTACCCCTCCCTGCATAGCACACACCGACCAAGTGTTTCCTGTGAAAGGACCAGTGACCTGTCCTGACCCGCAGTGACCTATCCTGACCCGCACTGACCCCACTCTGTGTTACTGTCTCGTCCTCAGCGGAGCATCTTCAGCGTCGAGCGGCCGTTCAGCTGCAGCAGGCGGGGATGTCACCGCAGGCCCTCCAACAACGGCAGCAGTCTCTGAGGCTTCAGCGGCTTCAAGTGGAACGCGAGAGGCTCAAGATCAGACAGCGTCAGGTCATGAAACAGGTGAGGAAACTGACTGACTGGCGACGATTCTAGCAGACTAGTGGAAAAGTTGTGTTGGGTTGGTCGTCAGGTAGACGAACACAGGCCAAGTTTCAATGACTCAGTGCATGTGTCGTGGTCGGCGCTGGTCGGCGCTACCACGTTAAAGTAGCGGGATTTGTTGATGACGTATATAACGGTAGATTTTCATCAAAGGAGTAAAGCGAACCAGCTCATTGTGTTGGATAAAAACGCACCCACCGCTGTGTAACAAGTCTTTGTCCGTGGTGTGAAACCGACCGTTTGAACGCGGAGGCGGCTGCAAACTCTTCCTCCTACCGCCGGCTGCCCGTTTGTGGCGGTCAGTAGTGGCGGTCGCAGACGTTAGCTGTTGGCCGTGTCCTCGTGACCAGCCGGAACGGGGCGATCTCCTGATAGGGCCAGAGTCCACACCATTGATGAGTCACGGCTCGGCGGCCCGCTCGCAGCCGGTTAGGCCGTTATTTGGCAGCGCGCGCGGCCGGCCGACGCTGCCAGCTCTGCGCGGCGCCGTGGCGTGTTGTCGCCGTGACTGACCCGATGTTTGTCCGGATTACAACTATCCGATCACTGACGTCACACTGACGTATGTGTCTGTGATGTCGGCCTGTCCAGCGGAGGCCAGTCGCAGCGACCCCGCCGGCGTCTGGCGCGGTTGGCAGTGGCTGGGGCAGCGGGTGTTCCGGCTAATGTCATGTAGTAATGCAAAAAGTCCAGTACACTCAGATGCCTCTATTCACACCCGTACCCGCTCGTGTCCCGGAGCGCACTGCCCGGCTTCACCACATTAGCCTAGATCATACCTCTGTACACGTCATATCACGTCATATCACGTCATTCTGAACCCTAGACAAAGGCTGATCAATTTCTCCCTCCGCCGACTCACCGTCGCCATAAGACCCTGGCTCGCAATACGACGCGCACCATCATCGCTCGAACCACGCAATGACTAAGACACAGACTACACCTCACCCTGATCCTCAAGATCATCACTTCCGCTGCTGCTGTTTAACGCATCAATCGGCACCACGTGGCCGAAGAAGTCAGGCGGCCGCCGATTACGCTGACCTCGGCGCACCACCCTTTCGCCGCTGTCGCTCTCAGACCGGCCGCATTCACCACCCGCATCATCAGCCTCCTCCACCGGGCGCCCCGGCGCGCCATCGCCCTCATAACCGAATGTCATGACGATCGGGGACCCGGCACGGTCCTCCTCCGCTTCCTGTGGGCCCCCGCTGCCCCGGTCGGGGGTCCGAGGGCCTGCTGCTGGTCCCCCGGTGTCACCGCAGTGGCGGAGGTCTCTGATGTGCCAAGGCACGCCGCCCACTTCAACCACCTGCGGCGACACCACGCCAGACACCGTTCCTCGAACCGACCGCTCGGTGCAGCGGGTGCCCGGCCGCCTCACCCACACGGCGTCCCCCACCTGGAAATCGCCCTCCTGCCGGGCTGGCGGCCGTCCTATCACGGCCTCCTCGGACGCTCCGGCGGTAGCTCTTTGTCTCACGGCGTCCCTCACAGGGTAGCGGTAGATGCCGTTGGCGGGCGCCTCAGCCGCCGTCCCGCCGTCACGGGGCGTGATATTGTACAGGTGCACGGCCTCTCCGATGCCACACTTCTTCCGCGCCGCGATCACTTTGACACTGCGGTGGTTCCGCTCCACGATGGAGTTCCCGCTGGGGCGATGCACTGCGCGGAAACGCAGCAGCACTCCCCAGCGGGCAGCGAAAGCGGCGAACTGACGACTGCGGAAAGCGGTGTCGTTGTCCGCCAGAAGCTCAGCCGGTGCGCCTCGCTCCGCGAACACTTGTTCGAGTTCACTCGTGACTGTCGCCGCGTCCGACCGCCGCAGCAGCCTCCACACACAAAACCGTGACGGGCCACAGTCTATCACCGACAAGTAGGACTGACCACCGTAGTGCGTGACATCGATGGCCAGCCGGTCCCACGTCCCCTCCACAGCCAGCGACCCGTGCCTCCAGGTCACCGGCGCCGGGTCAACCGCGCGGCAGACGTCACAGGCCGTCACCACTTCCCTGACCACTTTCCGGGAAATCGACGATGACACATCCCGACGCGCGAAATACAGCGTTCGTCGGACACCCGGGTGACCCGCCCTGACATGTACGTCAGTGACGGCCTGTCGGAAGTCCACGGTAACGGCGCCGCCGCCGTCTCCCACTTCCGATCCAACCACTGCCGCTGCTGCCACTGGCTGTCCATCGCTCGGCCGCTGGTCCGCTGGCTGCGAGTCCTGACGCAACCACAGGGACGGCACTCGGGTCAGCGTGTCCGAACGGTTCTGAGACGAGCGGACTAGAGACACGGTGAGAGAAATGCCCAGCTCTGCGACCAGCTGCCTGATGACGTCGACCCGCCGGCGGATAAGCATCTCTCCATGTGCCTTGGTTCGCAGTCTCGCGCGCCCGCTCAGAGCGTCGCTGACCCACCGGTGAACAGTGGCGGAGTCCGTCTTCAGCTCGATGGTCTTCATGTCCCACGCCAGGGCCAGGTTGATGCCCCGCACGGCGGCGTCGAGCTCCGCCATGTTGATGTGGGTGGCCTCGTCCCGGCGGAGCCAGCACGCGTCCTCGATGACGTCACCTCCCTCGCTCTCCAGCACGACGCCGGCGGCTATCGAGCTGGCGTCCGTCCACAGTACGGCGCGGTGCCCAGTCACGCACCACTGCCCACGGGCCGGGTCCTCGCTCGCCAGTCGCTCAGCCACGTGCTTCAGCTGTTCCCGCAGGGCCGCGTCGTGTGTGACGTCATCCCACCCGCGTGTGAGAGAGTTGACACGACGCTTCAGCCACGCTGTCGCTGGTCTCAGCCAACCGCAGACCGGCAGGTGCGCCACGATACGACCACACCATGAAAACACGGAGCGCCGCGTCATTGCCGCGGGCGGTGAGCCGACTGGGTTGTCACGCCTCCAGGCCAGCCCACCCCCGACTGGCTCCACACGCAGTCCCAGCAGCCGCGCTCCGTCCGCAGCCCGCTCCGGCGGCTTACACTGGAGCCCATAGCTCGCGAAGTGGGCGATCACGCGCTCCGCGCTCACCACGTCCTCATTGACGCACAGATCGTCGACGTACGGTATGACGGCGCCCTGCATCACTGGGTCCTGTTGCAGCACCGTCCGCACCACCGCCTTCATGATGAGAGGCGCGACGTTGAGCCCGAATCCGACACGGGTAAGAGCGTACCTTTGGCCATCAATCACGACTGTCTGAAACGGCCACAGCCGACGATCGGTCCTGAGCTGCAAGTACGCCCTCTTCAGGTCGACGACGGCGACGTTGGCCCCGTGCCGCCGCCATTTCCTCAGCGTGTCGGCACATACGTCAGCGTCGGCCGTGTGTGCCTCCACATGGCTGTTGAGCTCGCGGCAGTCTAAGACTGGTCGTACTTTAGTCTTGTTCTGCTGTTCAACAGCCATGAGAGGGATCAGCCCGCGCGGCGGCCCGTCCACCGTCTCGTCGTACGGCTCCAGCCAGCCGTTGTCGATCCATGTACGGAGTTCAGCATCAAACTCCTGCCGTGCCTCGGCCGGCACGCCGTACTGGGGGACACCGTTCCTCAGGCACCCTGGCTCCGCCCCGTTCCGCCACTTCCACGCCACCGTCCAGTGTTGACTTTTCGCGTCATAAGTGACCGTGAAGTCTCGCTCTTCCACGGTCAACGCCGGGGGCGTCACGGCGCTGCATCGCGGCGGCACCCCTCCCGGGCCCGGCACGGCCACGTCGGGCCTCTCGCTGGCACCGAACACCACATCGTCCGCCGCCCGCACTGTCACCCCGCCCAGCGCCGCGATGCCGGTCATCCCCACCAGCATATCCACGCCCAGTGGTTTGTCCGGCACTACCACGGCGCTGAGCGTCACCGCGGGCCCGCCGCTCTTCAGCTGAACCGCCACCTCCGTTACTCCGCTGCTTGGCAGCCGGGACCCGTTGACGGCCATTACAGTCACGCCGCACCGTCTCCAGCTCGCGCAGCACGACTCGTGGATGATGGTGCAGCTGCAGCCCGAGTCGATAACAGCCACTCTGCGCTGCCCATTCACCAGCAGCTGCACCGTCGGTAGCGCGCCTCTTACTCTTGGGCTGCCCGAGAGGAGGTTGGCGCAGACACCGCCTCTCCTGACGCGTTTCCCGGCATCCGTTCCGGGCAGCGTGCCGCGGCGTGTCCTGGCTGCTCGCACCGGAAACAGATGATGTCCGCTCTCCTCTCCGCCCGGCAGTCACGAGCGAAGTGACCGGCTCGACCGCAGCGGTAACACCGTGATGACGCCGGCGTGTGGCGGGAACGGGCCGGCGCAGCGGCGGCAGCGGCTGCAGCGACGGCATTCTCTGCCATCAGCGCCCGAGCCCGCTCCACCAGCTCGGCCAGCGTCAGGCTCTCCATGCGGCAGCCGGCCCTCAAGGTATGCCTCGCCGCATCCGGGAGACCGGCCACGAAGCCGCACATCAGCGCCGTGTCGCCGAGCCCGCCGAACAGGGAGGCCAGCCGCCGCGGGTCTGCCAGGTAGACGTCGACGCTCTCGCCGACACGAAGTCTTCTCGCCGTGAACTCCTCGTACGCCTGGAACTTATCCACAGCGAACGCCCGCAGCAGGGCAGCTTTGACGGCAGAGTACTGCAGCTTCTCCTCGGGCTTCAGCTGCTGGTAGACGCTGAAGGCTCCGCCGGTCAACCGCAGGGGGACGACGGTTTGAATGTCGGACACTCCGCGCAGCTGACAGACGAGCTCCGTCTTATCCAGCCACTCTTCCACAGAGGCGTTACCGCCATCGAACTCGGGGATTAGCCGCATGTCCAGCGCCGAACTTGCCACAGCGCTTTCCTGTGACATGGTTGCCGAAATAGCTTGTAGTAATGCAAAAAGTCCAGTACACTCAGATGCCTCTATTCACACCCGTACCCGCTCGTGTCCCGGAGCGCACTGCCCGGCTTCACCACATTAGCCTAGATCATACCTCTGTACACGTCATATCACGTCATATCACGTCATTCTGAACCCTAGACAAAGGCTGATCAATTTCTCCCTCCGCCGACTCACCGTCGCCATAAGACCCTGGCTCGCAATACGACGCGCACCATCATCGCTCGAACCACGCAATGACTAAGACACAGACTACATGTCAACACACGCTGCAGCTGATGGTCCACTGATCCGACCACCCCCGACCGACGCGACCGGGCCGGACGGACCAAATCCGACTGGTTCCGATCGGTTGTGCTGTTCAGGAAATAGAACAGCCAAAGAAGTGCTGAAGTTGTGAAGGGCTACACATGAGGTGTTCAGGCAATAGGAGCTGGTAGAGACTCAAACAGAAGAGGGCAGACTGACACCGGACTGGGCGGCCTACTCAGGTAGCCTGTTGCGCCGTCAGCTCATTGTTCGTCAGACGAGAGTAACGGTCAGCCGGTCATGTCTCTATTCGGGGGCACCGACTGGAAGTGAAACCAGTCCATACTTACGCGAGCCCAGTGGACCCTCACACCCGACCGGCTCAGCCGGGCGTTCTGAGTCGACAAAGCTCGGCCTCCGTTCTATGTACTGAATGGTCAGCGCTGTGTACTCAGTCGTCAAACCACCAGACCGACAAAGTCTCTGACAATCTGCTTAGCGTGGCCGGGGCCCGGGACGGGGGCGGGGGACGTAGTGATATAGTCAGAAAGTCCGCTGACACACCCAGGCCAATGCTCCCTCCGGTGTGGACGGGATAATGGGCCCGCCGCCCAAAGAGAGCCCCGCTTTTCGACGTAGAGCTGAGAGCTTTGGCAGGCTCAGCTGATGCGATGCGAAGAGAAAAAACGCGCTCATCCGATCTTTGTGCCGCCATTATGGTGTTAGTTCTGCCATGGGTTAATGTCAGTACGGTTAGAAACGCTTATTTTGGACAGGTCACCATGTGTGTCACCCGACGCCCAGTGTCATCTCTTCCTTCTGTGTCGCTTCCCGGAGAGGAAACGACACACTTCCCCACAACTGTAGGCGCTATGATGAAGCTGTACCATCTGCGCCGACACTCTGTAGGACCCATCTGTTGTCGGCGCCGTCTGATGCCAGACTCTGACCTCTCACCCTCTCTCCCTCTCTCCCTCCCCTCCCTCTCTGCCTGTCTCACAGCTGGCGCCAGCGTGGTGGTCGCCCGTCCTCGCCAGTTGATGCCCCCCTCCTTTCATCCAGTTCGGTGACTCACACCCCGGCCTCGTCTGTTTATGTTGGACGCCGGCGGAAGTGAACTGGCGCAGCAGCCCGGTGCCCGGTCGCCCAGTTTGGCTCGTTCATGTCAGCCGGCTCTGTTTTGTCTGGGCCGGTTCTATAAACGGTAACGGTTTGCTTGGCGGTGGCCTACCCGACTTTTGTGTGTTATTTGAAGGACGGGTGATTGTGTGATAGTTCCGGGTGCGTTGACCGTTCACGATTAGCTAATAGCCAATGTTTAAAATCTGTAAACTTAGCCTCCCTTTTATACATCACAGCACTGTTCATAGCTCATCCCTGTCAATTTGCCTTGCCGACTCCCTATCACTGCTCGGTTCGACATTATCCCTGTGTCGTGTATCTACCGACCCTGCTGACCTCCCCTCCCTTTGTTTCCCCTTAGCTGGGAGGCGAGCAGCGGCCGGCCGGTGCAGCCGGAGACGAGGACGCTTCCGGAGCCCTGCGACACCCCCTGCTAGCCGAGGGAGCGGCCAAGTCGGCCGCGCTCGATCCTTTCCTGGCCGGATCGGGTGCCGCGGCCGACTACCACAGCCGGCAGGAGTCGGCAGACAGCGGCGTGGGGCTCAACTCGACGGGCAGTCTGCCGCGCACCCCGGACAACCTGCTAAGCACCGCCGTCGACGACCCCATGGACGCTGCCGACGGTGGGTGTCGAGAGGGGAGAGAAGAGGGAGAGACTGGACGCTGGTGACGGTTGGTGCTGCTAGGCCCTAGTAGCACCAACCGTCACCAGCGTCCAGCGTCCCTAGCAGCTAGGGGAAGAGTGTGAGGAGACAGGGGAAGTGGAAGGAGACGTCATGGACCCTGGGGTTCTGGGTGTTGAGAGGGGGACGTGGTACAAAATTGGGCATGGAAGGGGAACCTGGTGAAGACTGCTGACAGGCAGTAAGGAGGTGACTGGAGAATTAATGAACTAAGGCTACGGTGGATGAAGGCGAGACGAGGGGATGAAAGGGGGTGGAGGGAGGGCAAAAACTACATCACCACTCCCGACGATCAGTCGAGCTTCAGTAGAACACGAGGACTGACTGAAGAGAGATTGAGCCGACGGCCAGGGCAGATGAGGCGATAGGGATGCAGAAGGATAGAGTAACTGGAGCGATACTGTCGGAAATCGTCACATCTACCGTAGGAAGGGTGCCGCTCCAAAACAATGCGTCATATTTGCCGATTCATGCGGTGCATGATGATGCCAAGTGATGACGATGAAAATGCACCTGGCATTTTTGTATTTTAGGTAAACAATACTGGTTGACGTGAACAAATCATTGTGGGTAATAATAGCACAGTATGAATCATGAAAGGAAAGACAAGTACTACGAATGGGATTGACGTGATCTTTCGGTATCAATATGTCACGCAATAGTCATCTTTGGTCCTTTTATACTAGCATACACGTCACGAAGAACCCGTGTTTTGGTCCAGTGGTGACGCATCTTCCCAACATCACGATATTCGTGTTGGTATTTGTAGCTATCAATAGGTGCAACCCCAGCTTTGTATCGGTTTCCGTCATATCCCATCATTTCTCCGTCTGAGTCAGCGGTGAGTAGAAGTACCACATTAGCTGTGGTTTGGTTTCTCAGTCTGGTGGGCTGGCTCTGTGTCTGTCTTGACGGGAACTCCTCAGCGCCGTGGCGTGCCGGTTGAGTGTGGTTCCACCGCAGCTCTCTGGTACCCTGAGATCGGGGTGTGTCTGTCTTGGTGCCCCCGGTGGACCGATGAACCGCTGACTCACTGAGTGCAGCAGTAAGGCGCAACAGGAGATGAGTCTGTGCAGTGAGGTATCACGTCACATGAGTCGTAGGGTGGGGCTGTCGACTATTGCGCTACGCTGCATGTTCATACAGAGCTGCACCCTGACACACCGCACACACTCCCAATACCACACAACCCAACTCAACACAACACAGCACAGCACAACACACACAACACACACAGCACACACCTCAACATCACGTGTTTGTTGTTGCCCTGCTAGCGGCACGTGCAATGTGTATCAGTGGCCCCCCGTCACCGGCCGCCGCCGCGCCGCCGCGGTGATCTGTTTAGTCTGACGTCGTACGGCTGAGCAGGACGCCGCTGACGCCAGCTCCGTCATCACTACTGCATCAGTCCGACGGCACTCACCGCGCAGAGGCTACTAGCGCCCGTGTAGAGGTTATAATCGGTGCTCGATGACGTAAGGGGTCGCTGGGATCGAGCAGAGCTCAAAGGTTGGGGGGGGGGGGGATTTATACAGTGTGAAAACAGCGCAGTTGCAGTGGAGTCGTTGTGGACGGATCATTTATCCATCAGGACGGCATCGTGATTGTGTCGTCATGGGAAAAAGACTGGCGGAAAAGGTAGATTCGAAGGGAAACACGGAGTCCGGAAACACAAAGCCACTGAAGGCCAGGGTCGTTGTTGACTGCTGTGTTGGAGGGTGGGCTCTCAAGGGTGCACGGAACCGTCACATCTCTGTGCTGCTGATCGATACACGTGGCGTGCGCTACCTCCCCGTACCTTTCCTCGTGCCGCCCCCCCCCCCCTCCATTCTGCCTCTGCCTCCTCTTGCCCTGTCTCTTTCCCAGTCGCCCGCCACCTCTGTTCGGCGGCCCGACCCTCTCGGGCTGTTTACATTGGAGGCATCAACAGAACGCCCTGCGTCATGAGTGTGACTGTGCCGGGCCGTTCGGCCTCAGCTATGCGGCCGGGGTGTGGCCCCAGGCAGTTACAAGGACGGCTCTGGACATGCCGACAGCGGGGTCATAGTCTGTTTATTTTCGGCGGGTACTCTGGATTAGAGATTGCAATCCCGGGATCGGGATCCCGGGATCCCGGCGGGATTTTAATCCCGATCCCGATCCCGAAATTCCGCCAATCCCGGGATCCCGAAAAGAATCAGTTTTCACCTTAAAAAGAATGCAGCCGCTGCACGAGTCTTGTTTACACTGTTTATTGTGCTGCGTGACATAAAGCAGATAAACTATTTAGCTGGCACCCCGTATTGGCCGTCCACAATCGACCGTGTTGGTAGCTCTCGGTATCACCCACAGCGGTTAAGCCGCTTAAATACGTACGAAAAAGGTCCCGAAAGCCAAAAAAAAAAAATGCAGCATCAGCGCTGCAACATCTTTATCAGGATCACAGATCGTTCAGCGATTCTGACTTGCCCGTCCGTGGCCGGAACAAAGGAGGTCATCAAGACAGTGTTTGAGCTCGTGTCGCAGAAAGATGTTACAGATGTCACGCAAGTGACGGCACAGCTCACTGATTCAGACGTTGAAGACGGTAGAGTGGAGCTCTCCCAGTCAGTGACTCTGCTCTCAAAGCGACTTTCGAGCAAATTCTGAGAGACATTAATGATGAAAGCGGAACCGGAAGGAGGTAAAGTGACCAAGCGACGTTTTGAAAACACTGTGAAATAGGGAGCTGCCAAAGTTGGCGTACACTGGTTGCCCGTAGTTGCGGCGCCCGCCACGGGCGGCGCTGGCCCGGCGAGCGGCGGTGACCTGACCGCTCGCCGGGTCAGTCTGGGCGCGTGCTGGACTGACGGAACCGGAACGGAAAGCCAACATGTACAATGCTCCAACATGGCAATGGCTTAAAACTGTCGCGCTAACTACGAGTAGCGTAGACGAAGAGTGAGTGAGGCGTGGATGTGCTGGAACCTGTCTAGTAAACGATCTGGTCGACGCACATATTTATGAAGGCCAATTGGGAATAAATGCTAATGCTAATCAAATCGAAACGTTTTATTCGCAAATTCAATCGTTTTTAATGCAAATGACATGGTCTAAGGATGGCTTTTGGTTGCCTCTTTGTTTGTGGTAAGCTTAAAGACGCAAAATATGTCAGTAGGAAATCACTCTTACGACATTTAGTGACAATGCCGGGATCCCGGGATCCCGGGATCCCGAAATAAAAACTTTCGGGATCCCGGGATTGGCAAAACGTTCCGGGATTGCAATCTCTACTCTGGATACAGTGAGCCGTTTTCGGATGTTATTCATGTTGTTATTATTTGGTCTGGATGAGAACCAACGCTACCCTTCCTTCAGAGTTACTTTGACCCATGGTGTCCCTGTGCTTGTGTGATACATCATACACAGAAAGGTTTGTCGTCTGTGAATTAGCCTGTTCATAGACCTCTGTACACCATGGTGTACAGAGGTCTATGGCCTGTTATACGTCCAAAGCGTTCTGAATGGCTGTCTCTGACCGATGTTTGTCTTCTTTACGTGTTTCAGACCCGTCCAGCCTGCAGCTGCCACCCGGAGACCCCGGCTCCGGTCCCGCCGCCATGATGGATGCCCCCGACATCGCCCAGCTCGGTGGCGAAAACATGGACTCGGACGAGCTCATGCCGAGCATACAGCAGGTGAGAATCAATGTTTAGAGACGAGGTGGAGGTTGAATGCAGCCTCAGCCACGAATATTAGTGGGTGAAGGATGTTTGACTGTGCGTAGAAGGCAACCTTGCGAGTAAGCAGAGTAAGCAATATGTAAGCAATCGCCGCTGATTTCTTGATCGTGTAGCTGTTAGATCCTTGTTTGCCTTTTGAGTTGAGATCGTTGACTGAGCTGTTTTGTTCCCCCGTCACTTGCAGCTGGACGGCGAGGGTCTCATGTCCAACGAGTTCCTCAATGACGTCACCTCCATCATCGACGCCAACCGACTGGAGAACGGCCACACCTGGCTCTGAAGGCGACTCACCGCGCCGACACCTGGACAGGTGGCGCTACCGTGCAGTGCAGACAGCACAGGTGGCGCTGCTGTTGCGGTACATTCGACAAAGACGATGCCGCTGTCGGTGAAGGGCCACAGGCAGCTCAAGTGAGGCCCAGAGTTGCCAGCCGGCCAGTGCTCGGAGATGACACCCTATTCAGGTGTCGCGGAACTGTCTGCCAGAGTAGTGAGAGCAGCGCGAACCGCACGGCGCGCCAGGACTTGGACTGTGGTCTCAGTGCATTTCATCCACGGCTTCGGTGGACATTGCGCGTTTTTATGCGTTTATTCTTGTGTTTATTTGTTTTTCGTTTTGTCCCGAGTTAGCCCTTGTTTGCGCTGTACGTCGGATGAATGTGACCGTTTTGCGCGGAAGCATGGAAGAGATAACGCGACTACACGATGAAATTCAAGACTTATCTCGCACCTTTTGCCGTAGAAGCGGGGTGAAAAAACAAGCGAGACTTGGACAGTATTGCGAATGAAATGCGTCGCAATCAAGTGTGATGGATTCTTAGACGGTGACAGCTGCTGGGCTGCTAGAGACGGTGACGTGCTGCAGTGTTTGACGTTATTGCCCTGTGTTTGTTGCCATCTGTTTGTGAGCCCTTCTGGATGATAAAGCCTGTCCCTTGCTTTGCCCGGGCGGGACCCAGCTTCGTGATTCGATCGCATAGTTTGTCAATTCTAGGCGGAGGACAGGTAACGCGTGAAATTCTATGCATCGTTAAAGCTCATCCAGTGTTCTGGAAATATTCGAATCGGGAGAGCCGTATATCTTTTGGATACATTTATGACTGAAGTTCCTGAAGGGTTTGTGTGTGCGGCTAGAGAATTGGCTGCTAGGTCAATCATGTCAATCAAAACCTCTTGTCCTGGAGGCCTTTCCAGAGCTGCCTTGTGGCGCGGCGCCGGCGCCGCCGGCCGCCGGTGTTGTGTTTTGGCTTGTTGGCCGTGTTTGTGACGCCGTTATCGGGCAGCGAGTGCTATTGAGGATCTCTGTTGGATTTTGGAACTGAAGAGCGCTTCCGCGGTCATCCGATTGTGAGCGGGGAGGGCGCTCCATCTGTCTCTGTGTGGACTGCACACTGTGTGTGGCAGGGGATGAGAGGGGGGAAGGGGCGTCTAGGAGAGTGTCTGAGCTAAAATTCCGCCGTCCCCAGTGGCTCGATGTGTCTAGGACTGGTTCCGTCGGAAGAAGGGTCGGGCTCTATCGCATCATTTTCTTTCCAGCTACTGACAGTCCTGACGTGAAAGCGAGTGACGTAAAGATTTGTGCACTGAAGTGGCCTTCAATGTTGGAGGATGTGACGTTTGTCTAAAAGGTTTTGTTTTTATAATTAGTCAGCAGTTCATGTTGCGTTGCATCCTTAGCTTGCTGACTCGCAAGCTTTTTGAGATTGCAAACTGCGTTTTGGGTTAATCCCTCGGTATTGCGACAATATCTTGATGACTTGAGTGACTTCTTTTGGCTTATTGACATTGCTCCTTGACAGCCATTTTACTTAATGTTTTAACAATGCAGCTTTCAGCTCTGCCATCATTATCTGGCTGACCAAGAATCACTTTTTCTGTGTGTTGCACCAACTGCTATTTGCTCGTTCTGTTCACACCAAACCAAATCATGCTCCCTTACTAGCCGTCCAGAGAGTTCAGAGTGCCTTTGAAGGTGGACCATCATGATCGTATCAAATGATAATGCCATGTAACATCCAGAAGAACTTTTCCAACCCTGCTCGCGGACTGTACGAGTCTGAAGAGTAAACGCGGAGGTTTCCCGTCGTTCCTACCACTGAACCAGCCCAATCACCGCTGTGGGCCTCTGCTGCCTCCCAGCATCCTACCACCGTGTCTGTGCTAACTCACTGCTAACTCACTGAGTGTACACCCGCTCACTCACTCTCAACTCGTCTCCTCACTCCACTCTCACTCCGCCCTACTTCCGCCGTCTGTGTGTCTGTGAGTGCCCGCCGTCCGCTGCGGTCCGTCCCGGGCGTCAGATGTGTGTCCGGTCCTTGGTGACTGATGTGATGATGTGGAACCGGCACCTGCCGGAGGCTGCAGCTAAGCTGGGACGCTGTGCGTATCCGCCGGACGCGCAGCCGATGCCATATTTGGTGAGCGAGTGACGCTGCGTGTGTGTGAGATGTGCTCATCTGATCTGTTGACAATAAGGAGGACTGTACATAATACACACACTGGGAGGCGTGACTATCGCGATGTCTTACATATGGAGATGATGATGTGTATGGGTAACGCTTACGACCAAACGCTATACCGTATTAGAGCGAATCGTATCCATAGGCGGCGGAACGATTTGAGACAAGGGGGGGGGGCACCAGCTCAAGGAGCCAAACCTAGGGTACGGGGACCCGCAGTTGCTTCTGTACACGAACCCCAACTCTAGCCGTCTGTCCTGTCCAGTAACAACTGATGATATTGATATCGACTGCTGGTCCCTGTACAAGAGCAGCTGAGGTTTCCTGTGAGTGCCCTCTGACAGTTTATCGTTGTTTCCTGTGAGGGTGCTGGCCGGGACAATTTACTCAGGGTCGCTGTACAGTAGCAACTGCGGGTCCCCGTACCCCCAAATCCTGTTTTCTCATCGGATTTAGGCCATTTATTTTTCGTCACAGCCCTGACACGATGATTTTTTTTTTTTTTTACTAAACGAAAATGGCAGTTCACCCCCGTATGTGTGGTTAACTTTAAGCTGATCCTCAAGTACCTATGTGTTTGTCTCTTCCTTATTCTCGTTTGATAAATTCCATTAATCCTACATGTATCAAATTACCAAGAAGCCATCGCAGTACTAATCAGTGGCGAATCCCAGGGGGGAGGTCACATGGGTCATGACTTTGGGCCTGGGGTCACCACATGCCTGCCAGGAGCACCACAGGCCTGACAGCCGACAGGGGCACCACAGGCCCGCCAGGGGTACCACAGGCCTAGCAGGGGCACCACGGGCCTGTCAGTGGCACCACAGGCCTGTCAGGAGCACCATATCGGCCTAGCAAAAGCACTACAGGTCTTCCAGGGGCACCACAGACCTGTCAGGGGCACGAGGCCTGCCAGGGGTACTATCGGCTTCGCAGGGGAACCACCGGCCTCGCAAGGGCACCATGGGCCTGTCAAGGGCATCACAAGCCTGTCGTTGGCACTTTAGGATTGTCAGGGGCACCACAAACCTGTCAAGGGCACCTGCGTTCTAACAGGGGCATCACAGGCTCGCCAGGGGCACCACAGACCTGCCAAGGCCCAGGGACACCACAGGCCTAGCAAGGACACCACAGGCCTGTCAGGGGCACCACGGGCCTGTCGGGGCCCATGGGCACCTAAGTCATGTGCAGGGCCCACCGTGGGCTTGTCAGGGGGTAGGGTAGGTAGGTACCACAGTCTTTCCAGGGGCACCAGCGGCCTAGCAGGGGCACCAGTCATCACACGACTAACCAAAAATAAAGAAAATAAAAAAACTGAAAATAGGGCACCACCAAAATTAATTGGCCGAAATCCGTTGAGGTTTTAATTTTGGGTATAGGTAGGGGCACCACTTCGATTCATGACCCTCCCCTTGGAGCTTTCCCGAATCCGCCCGTGGTACTAATAGGGGAGAGTGGGGAAAGATGCCCAGGGTTTTACTATGTCATATATTATTCGAAAATGACGATCGGAAAGCAAAAACTTGTAGTTTCAACGGAAGCCTACAACATTTTTCTCCAAAAATACCACACTTTCGTGCTTGAAATATGATAACTTTTTTTGCTATTAAGCATTTTCCTGAAGAAGTGAAAGGGGGCATCTTACCCCACAGGGTGGGAAAGACGCCCCTGGCGTTGGGTAAGATGCCCCCTGCACTATAAGTGACATAAATGGGCACGTGAATCGCCTGAACGAATCAGTAGTCCCTTCGGGCCTGCAGTAGACACCAAACGTCATCGTAAGGGCCCTCAAAAGTAGTCGTAAGGGGCTTCAGAGGTCATCGTTAGGGCCATCATAGTCCAGCGCGGCCAAACAAGCCTCCGTGGTGGCGTTCGGAGACCACTGTGGGGCCCTTATAGGTCTTCATGATGCTTGAGGGCCCTCGAGCCCATCGTGGGGACCTCAGATGCCAGCGCGGCCCGTGGAGCCAACGTGGGAGCCCTCAAAGGATGTCGTGAGGGGTCCTGGAGCCAATAATGTGGCCCACAGAGGCCGTCGTAAGGGCTCTCAGAGTCAGATGCCGCCCAAAAAGTCGCTGTGTGGGCCGAGAGACCGGCATGGGGAGCACCCGACCGTACTGGACTCTCAATAGTCCCAGATCGGCTTTTGTCTCTCATCACAGGTATGTAATAAATGATTTGACGGGCTGCTTGAAGGACAGCCTACGGATTTAGGGGGGCGTCTTTCCCCATCAGGACAGGGGGCATCTTACACCAAGGTACCGAGGTAACATTAAATCAGTACAATTTGTTAGCCATAAAACTACACCCTGAAACAAACTGTTTGGGACACAGCACACGCATGTTAATTTATCACGACTATGGCAAGGGACGCAAAAATTATCTACTTTCTTTGATATCTACAATGTTTTGACACCAAAATATTTTTTGAAAGCAGCAAATAAAAAGCATGCAATCTCCAGCCAGCCGTTGCCCAACTGAGCCTCGCAAATTTTTGTGCAGTTAACAAGGCAGGCTTCCGCTTTACGCTAAGAACATTAATTTCCAGGTTCGATTCTTTGTTTCGCCGCTAGAGGGGGTGGGGCGTCTTTCCCACCCTGGGCATCTTACCCCACTCTCCCCTACATCAACTTTAAGGGGGCACCTTGCTATTGGTGCCCCCTTGCAGAATTCAAGGGGGGGCACGGTGCCCCGGTGCCCCCCCGTTCCGCCGCCTATGATCGTATCGTATTCATCCACAGGGAAGCCGAAGGCACGACCGGGACAAAATCTGAGATCGAAGTCTGTACTTGAAAAACGCGTCGCCGCTACAGTCGTATTTCCCTGGTATTCGAGTAGTTAAATAACCGACAAACATGCACACCATGCCATACATGTGGTTATTTTCAACATATGCGGTAGGTAGGTACGGTGAGTTTCGAATGCATCAATACAGCTGCAACTGCCAGCTGGCGCGCAGCTGATACAGCTGACGCTCTCCAGAGCAGCTGCCGCTGCGACAAAGACGATTCAGAAGACGGCGCACTTCGCGAGCAGCCCACACGAACACAGTACGTCCATGAATCTATCACTGGCACGATGAGTAGACTGACTACCCCGACCCACTTGTAATGGAAACGGCTTCCAGTGCCTCGATAAAACTTGTTCGGTTGAAAATGACGCGATCTCATATCACAGCACATTGCTCACGAGGTTCTGAGGTCGTCATGACGATCCCGGTGCCGCCTTGCTGACCACTGCCGGCAACCTCAGCCGCTCCTTGACCTCCGACTTCGGCTGGGACGGAACGCTTCCCTCTCTGCAACCATCAGAGGAAAAACCACCTGCTTCAATCAGACGGCAATTTATTGGAAGGCATCGACGCTTTACCACATTTTATTTGGGCGGAACGTGCCTCAATTAGGTGCAGGAAAGATCGAGTTTTTAACAGTGCACTCGCTTACAGATGAGCTTAGAATTATCGAAGTAACTATGTATTCGTACAAAAAATACTATAAAAACATCTATCGTAGCATACAGCTGCATATCTGGCGGCATATTTATCCATCCATGCTCCAGTGTACTTACGAGCTCCGCTTGGCTCCCGAGTCGGCGGCGGCGGCGGCGCTGCCGTCTCCGACAGAGCTGGTGACCGCTGCCGGGTCCTGGTAGAGTCCCGGTGGGTGGGTGACCACCACGGACCCACTGGCCTCTACCTCCGGCAGCGGCGCCGGCTCCTCAGAGCCCGCCGGGTACAGCGAGGTAGCCATCTCGGCGTCGAGCGAGGCGCGCGGGTCGGCCGCCGCCGGTGGTGGGGTTTGTGAGGGACCCGACTCGGCTTTGGCTGAGGCAGGACGGGCAGGCACTGGGACGGATACCGCAGGCTGTTCGGGACCCTTCCGGAACACTCGGTGGGTGATGAAGTCGCTAAACCTTACCGCGTAAAAGTCGGGCGGCTGGACCGATACCTCACTCTGTGGGAGCAGAGAAGAAGAAAACGGTCACCGATCTGGTGGAAACAACAAAATAAATCCCTTCATTTAGGGCGATTGGTCCTTGAGCAACAGGGCACCTAAACGGTGATCACGACAGTCATTCATAAATAAGCTATAGAGACTGCAGTGTTTCACATAAGCGTAACACCTCAAAGGACGGAGACTGCATCTACGCACAGGAACAAATCTTTGGAGACCGCAGCTACTGACAGAAAGGGAGCACCGATTAAAAAGGTGATTCTAACTATAATAGAGATCAACTGATGCTTCATAGGGGTAGAAGTAAGAGCCTAATAAAAACATGATGTTTTGATCATACGGCGAGCTTGAGTTGTCGAGCTTGGAGCTTCCAGTCAAGCTAGTGTCCGTAAAATATGGTTACTTTTGGATATGTTCCCGATGAATGGAATACAGAAAATACCAAATGGCGATATTGGGGGCTTCCTGAAATATTAACTTTGAGAAGTGACAAAGTAAACTGATTCCGTCCAATCGCCAGCACAGAAACAGCACTAAAAGAGACGTAGACTGCATTTTTGGCAGCGGGTAACACCGCCGAGAGTGCACGGAATCCACTTCAATGCCAAAACCATTTAAAAGCGGTGGTATTTCTTATTATTTATAGTCACCGTGGTATTTCTCTCATCGAATCCCTTGGTCACTGACCTACTTAATTGTCCTCGAGCACTTATCATGGTGTCGCAAATGCAAAGCTGGCTGAAAGTCTAGTGGTGGTAAAAAAGACTGCGACGCTTACCAGCAGACTAACACCACGCCTTAAACTAAATCGAAACCATCGATCATCTGACTATTCCCAATGCAGGACTGCCTGTGGAACTCACAATATCGGCTGAATGTATGCAGAGCGACTTCATGAAGTGCTCGGCGATCTTCTTGATGCCATAGTCCTGCAGGATGTCTATGATGCCCATGTAGATAACGAGACGGTCTCCATTTTCCTCGAACGCCGGTATCCCACCGCATGGTCTGTGGAGAGAGAGAGAGAGAGAGAGAGAGAGAGAGAGAGAGAGAGAGAGAGAGAGAGAGAGAGAGAGAGAGAGAGAGAGAGAGAGAGAGAGAGAGAGAGAGAGAGAGAGAGAGAGAGAGAGAGAGAGAGAGAGAGAGAGAGAGAGAGAGAGAGAGAGAGAGAGAGAGAGAGAGAGAGAGAGAGAGAGAGAGAGAGAGAGAGAGAGAGAGAGAGAGAGAGAGAGAGAGAGAGAGAGAGAGAGAGAGAGAGAGAGAGAGAGAGAGAGAGAGAGAGAGAGAGAGAGAGAGAGAGAGAGAGAGAGAGAGAGAGAGAGAGAGAGAGAGAGAGAGAGAGAGAGAGAGAGAGAGAGAGAGAGAGAGAGAGAGAGAGAGAGAGAGAGAGAGAGAGAGAGAGAGAGAAGGGGAGATTTGATGACATCGAGATATAATTCGATTAAAATAAAGCTCGTGTCGTTGCTCAGTAGTTGAGTTAAGATAAGGGATGTTAGACGTTGCGACTTCAAGTGAACTATTCGGTGATATGTTATGGATGTATAATAACAATAAAATAATAATTTACTTACAGCGTGATCTCCGCCAGTTTCCGGATGAGCCGTCGGGAGCAGCAGTTGGGCGCGTGACAGTTGTGGCGCATGTGGATCTCGCAATAGGACTCCTCGGCGGTGACGGCGCGGCTGCGACGCTGCGTGGTCTGCGTGGTCGACGCCACCAGATCCGACGTCATGTCCTTTCGGATCGCCAGCAGCAGGCTGTAGTCCATGATGTCGAAACTCTGCAGCACCAGGACGTCTCGCTGCAGCGTCTTGGACACGATGCTGTACACGTCGGGCTCCAGCAGCAGGCCGTTGGGGTACACCTCGATGAAGTCCAGGTCCTTCAGTGTCGGCACGCTGGTTCCGACTGTACCGGCACCGGCGCCGTCCGCCCGGTAACAGCGGTGGTACCGAGAGCCCTTCAGGTCGAACTTGTGATCCACCAGGCCCGGTCGGATGATGTTGTTCATGATGACTAACCTCATGACACATGTGTACCTCTTGACGACGAACAGACCATAGAAACGAGGTAGGAAGGTGCTTGGGTTCTGGTGAATGTTCATGTAGTATTCTGGCAACAGCTCTTGCAGAAACTGGGCCTCCTTCTTTGTGACCGTCTTCAGCACGAAGTCTCTGTCTGGCGTCACGTAGAAGATGCTGCCACTGGCTCCTGCGTTCACTACCATGGTCAGCTTCTCCTCACACAACGACGCACGCATCACGTCATCTCGAACGTTGAACAGCTTCCGAAAGTGCGCAAACGCCATCGGCGCGTACGCCTTGAGTGTGAACGACTCGATACCCGAAGTGACACGATTTAGTACGGAAGGGTTGAACTGGATGATCTCGATGAAGAAGAAGTCGTGAAAGAGTAGATCTCGGATCTCCTGCGTGGCTGTCTGTGTGAGAGCTACGTCGATACCTAGCTGAAAGGAGGGGATCAGACGGTTGGCCCAGTCGTACTGGTCCGGTGTGACGATGTTCTTCTTGGGTCGCTTTTTGATCACCTTTTTGAGCGTGGATCGGCGCCGGTTGCGCCTGCCGCCATGACCTCCGGCTGATCGGGACAGCTGCGGGTCGAGGGCAGAGGTGGTGGTCGATTCGGCCGTACCGGTGGCCGCCGCAGCCTCCCCCTCGGTCGCCTCGAGGCCCAGACGACTGCCGATCAGCTCGAGGATTTCGTCATCATCCAGACGAACCAGCTCCTTTTCGTGCTTACCTGACGCAAAGGATGTGTAAAACATAGAGTCAGCATGCTGATGCCAAGCGTCCGTGCAGCCTCAAACCTCAAAGCGCTCATTTATATTGTTTATGAAAAGACATATACGACTCGTACGTAAACGTAACGTAGTATTTAAATGCATACTACATACCTTTCATGTTTCCATGTGTTTCGGTTGTTTCAACCTAATGTTGAAGCGACGAATACGTCGCTGGCTGTGCTACCAGTCGGTCGCAAGACGCCGTCTTATTTCAACACTGTAAGATATATAGTTATCGCTTCACCATTAAGAATGTTTCATCAAATATATGCACTTCTATAACGTCCTTAGCATTAACGCAGTCCAGCATTGCTAGCTGAACGAAACGGTGCAGACTGTGATTGCGGAGCAATCAATTCAGCACAAACAACTAGCACTAACTGAATACGGGGCAAATACCAATGGCACGGTACCTTTCCCGTTGGAAATAAACCTTATTTTATTTACGTTAAATTATATGACTCAGGTTTCGACAACAACGGCGCGAAAAGAAGGTCATTGTCACATCTTGTCGTGACTCCACATTGTCAAGCCACATTGTGAGATAATACGACGGAGACGGCAGTCGTTCTTTATTCCTCGCACGTTCCATCGTGGCCACAGATCTCGCCTCGTAAAAGTTGTCATCTTTTCCCTCCCGGAACCAAGTATGAAAACGACCTCACATGCCGCACTGTATCGTCTGTTCGAGCCCAGCTACAAATGTCACTCAGAATGCGATAGGCCAGACGATGGTCGCATACGGTGCTGTCCGCCCACAAAAATGGGCATGCGATTGGAATAAAGACGTGGTGACATGGGATTCCGTACCTGAATATCATAGGGATGAAGAATGAGAGATGTGCCTTATATGAGAAATGTCTCATGTTCCTACCTCTGCAGGCATGTTTGTGTTTAGAAGTGGTTTGCTGCAGTTTGGAATGAAGCGATCACATAACATTGATGGTATGCAACGGGCATGTCATGTTTTCCGATTTAAGTCAGATTCTGAATGCATGCTGGCATGTATGTACTGATAGGGGACTGATAGCATGATAACATCAAGCATGATAAATGAACAGAATGACGAATAATACTACAAATAACTTCGAAGTAAAGAATTGTTTTATGCGTCAAATGATAAAAGCAATACCTACCTATCATTTGAAAAACGATAGGTTTGTTATATCTTTTAAATCATAAAATCAAATGCCATTCAAGATTTTGCATTTTTGCAACAACCAGGTAGTAAAGTGGAACACTACCTGTTCTATTATGTGACCTCACCTGGCCTTTTAATGGTACCCAAAACTGTCACCATTTATAGCCATAGGTACTTCGTAAATAATCATTCAAAGGTCTTGCACGGTGTCATCGTCTTACATAACGTCGCTCTTTTTCCACATTACATTCAGACCTATGCATATGTAAGCGTAGCGTATAAATTCTAAATTAGGTCATCTAAGCTCCTTAACGTCTTACGCTGTCATCAACCCCCCCCCCCCCCCTCTGCTATTTTACAGCGAAAGGACCAGGAGAATTTGAGAAAAGAGTTTATAAAACACTAGCTTTAAGATCGTTTCATGGAAGGAAGGTACGACTACGCAATACGAGTGTAAGCTTACGAATGTTAAACGGTTCCTCCCAGAATAGAATCATCGCGAGTTCTCAGCAGAGTAGATAAAAACATATGTTTCGTGGTTTATTATTTACAAAGACAAACATCGCTTCGCTTTGCGGCCAATATCCTCACAGACTCATTCATCATCAATCATCTGGATCAACGGACTATTACATAACTCAAAGAGCATGACGAGGGAAACAATGCAAAATTCGCAATTATATAGCACTAAATTGCAATGAGGGGAGAGTTATAATTGCATCAAAATAAAATACGCATCTATATGCACAGAAGGCTTTACAGTTAAGTCATGGAACAGAGCGAGCCAAATTCATACAGCATTACCAAACAACCACATCATAACCATCAACATAATCATCACCACGAGTAGTTCAATGACCGCATTAAACACGGTGAGACCAGCCCCTCACTAACTCGGCACCACGTCTCTACACTCGCGCACACTTTGTGCGGGACATCACAGACGTCAGACGCTTCGCACGTGCCAATGACGTCACAAGAGCGGCCGCACAACTGACGCAGCGCAGACACGATGTTCGCGGGCGCCACACGAACCCCGTGCGGCCGCCGCGAGGCACTCACTGATTCCCAGTGCTGAGGAGAGAGACACTGCATCACTGTTCACACTGGATTGGGACACAGTTGAGGCCGCCTCAATGGAAGCGGTGGGTGGGACACTTCGGCGGGAGATACACCTGACCCCGGATCACCACCGCACCGTCACAGCTCCCCCATGTCAGTCAGTTTGGCCGCCAGGCCAACAATATTGGGACTGGACTGGCGCCGCTTCCGCGAGTCGCCAGCCATCGAGTGGAACTTCTCGAAGGCTCGGGCCACGGAGCCACTGCAGAGCGCGCCCCACGGCTGTGCGGCGCTGAACGGCTCCGAGACGACGCTGTGCGAGCGGCCGCGCTGTCGCAGCTTGGCCAGCTCGAGCTGTGCCAGCTGCTGGCTCTGCGAGCGCGGCCGGCCCGAGGAGCGGGTGCTCACCACGGGTTTGAGCTCGGTGGCCTGGTCGGAGGCCGCCTCCTCCCAGCTGAGCACGCAGTACGACTCGCTGCCCGCCTCGCTGGAGATCTCGCTGCTCCCCAGGTCGGAGGAGAGTGAGCTGCAGCGCCGGTAACAGCCGGCCGAGCTCTTCCGCGACGGCACGTCCGTCTCGGCGAACGCCACCGATCGCTTCTCGTCGGTATCGGTGCGTCCGCGCTCGGCGCGCTGCACTCGTTCTCTCCTGGCGCGGACGTCTTCATCGGTGGGCGAGCGGGCCAGTCCGACACTCGGCGGAGGAACGCTGCTGTGACGACGTGACGGAGCAGCATCGGCGCGCTGCCCGCGCTCGAACACATCGCGTAGCGTGGTGACGACCGGTGTAGGCAGAGGTTCGACGCGTTCCCAGCGCGGCGCGCCGTCACTCTGTACAGCAGTCAGCAGCGCTGAGTCCGTGTTGATGCCCCGGTCTCGGGTGGGCACCGTGTCTGTGTTCACACTGCGCTCAGTGGTGACAGAAGCGGAGCCCTGTCGGCGCCGGCGCGGCTCGGCGCCCGGCTCCGGACTGGAGGAGGCCGGGCGCCGCCAGCGCTGCGGGCTTTCCGGCTCCGGCCGGCGCCAGGACACACTCGTCTCGGTCGACCGGTCCAGGTACGGCTCTATCCTCCGCTCCGGAGAAACGGAGGAGTTGCGAGAGCCTGTCTCCATGTTAGTAGTGGAGGAATCCTCAGGTGGACTGGAGTCCTGTGATTGTGTAGGTTCCTCCACTATGACTTCACTTGTTAAGGCGGGTTTGTTTTTCGCGTTCATCTCGCTGTCTGAAGTGTCCTGACGGGACTCTGGGCAGTCCATCGATACCGGCTCAGACGTGACCGTCTGTGTATCGGTGCTCTCAGTCTCTGGACTCTGGGTCTGAAGAGACTCAGACAAGGAGTCATTTTCGTTTAAAGGCTTCTCGGAGGACTGATAGCTATCAATTGTCTTCTCTTCTTCTTCTTCTCCAGTAAACACGTCATCGTCTTTTGCCTGTTGGCTCTCAGACGTGTTCCAGACATTTTCCTGACTGCTGCCTGGGCTTGATTCCTTGCTTCCCTTGGACTTTGGTCGAAGCTTTTCTATCCGTTCTGAAAGGGTCTCGTCTGATCCACCCTTGGTCGAGCTGCGTCCGCTGCGATTCGAGTCGCGAGACCGGGACCTCTCTATTCTCGGTCGGCGCACGCCAAGATGAGAGGAGTTGGCTGCCTTGTTCTCCTTCTCATCATCGTAATCAGTATCTCTCAGTTTGCGCCACTTGAGATCCGAATCTCTGAAGCGATCGTTGTAAAGCCTGGTGAACACGTCTTGTTCATCATCGCTGATGATCTCCACAATGATCATGTTCTTGCCCTCGTCAACCGGCGGTGCTGAGAGCTCTCGACGACCGTGAGAGTCGCGGCGTCGCTCAGTCCTCGGGCATGGCTCCAGGTCCTCGCGTGTCGAGTGCGAGCGACGGCGCGTCTCACGCTTCTGCTGCTCCTCGTCCTTCTCAGAGCGAGAATCGATCTGAAGACTGCTCCGTCTGCCTGTGCTCTTCTTGTTCCGTCGCAGCGATGCGCGGAAGTCGGTGGGCTCTGCGGAGGGTGGTGACGTCTTCTTCTTGCCGCGCAGGCTGCAGTGGCGGACGAACGGCTGCCCGGTGGTGTTGAGGCTCTGACTGCTGCCCAGTCCAGCCACCACTTGGCTCTGGTACTGGTCCCGCACCTTGAATGAGCCCATCCGCTCCATGGGCGGCGGTAGAGGTGTACCGAGGGGACAGTTGAGTCCAGCGGCGCGCCACGGAGGCCTGCTCCCGAGCACCTCTGACGAGCGCGACACCCCACCAGCCAGAACCGTGCGTGCCAGACGCTCTCGAGACTTAGACAGACCGAACTTGAGGTCACAGAGCCGCTCACGCGACTTGGAGATGTTCTTCTTGAGGTGGCTGTTCGAGACTTTCTCGCAGAGGACCTCTCGGCTCTTGGAGGCCGAGCGGCGCAGGGTGCGCACGCTGTCCTGGCTGCCGAAACCGTCGCTGAGGATGGACTGGGAGCTGCCGTGGACGGACGGTACTCGCGGTGCGGGCTCCGGCTGCTGCAGCCACGGGTGCATCAGCGACTGGCGCGCGCTCAGACGGCCCCTGCGAACAAAGACACGAACGGTCAGCTTCTGCCGAATTACAAAACAATCGCTAGTTGACTGCAATCGTTGAAACGCACGCTTTCAGTTGAGTCAGGAGCAGGGCGGTGTGTGTGGGCCGTAGGGACTATGGAAGGTTCGGTTGTGACAAGCTCCATGACTCAGATCAGAGTACTAACTGGCAGATACACTATCAAATCGACGCGATTTTTCATAGCATCATCTATGAGCTCCCCTGTAGGCCACATTAAAAGATTGCGCTAGCGTTATCAGTGGCAATATGTGATGATATATTACGGCTCACTGGTGTGCAAAAGGTGGCAAAGCCGAGTATATAGGGCAATGAAAAACCCCGTATGGCGTTGTATTGATTGCTTAATAGGATAAGACCTACACCATCGTCATCAATGTCATGTTTTACGGCAAACGACACAGGTTATAGAGTAGCATCATCTGGTGGAATGGCCGTCGTTAAAAACGCATAAGGTATAGTTCTGGCCAAATCCATCTGTTTATCTTCACGGTCGCATGTCAATAGTGTGTTGCTGCCCCACACTAGGAAGCAACTCCTGAAAAGCATGCTGCATAAAGACCTCAACTGTATGCCTTATGCATAGCAGAACGCTGACATTTCTGTCCAGCGTGAGGTGTGGGGTCCACCCAGCTCCCAGTAGCGGCAGCATGCAGCGGCGGCCCGTCGGCCAGTCCGCTCCGTCTCCCTCCCCCCGAGCACAGACGCGAGCAAGGTCAACCTCTGCTCGAGCCGCCTCCAACGGACGTCGGACTGGTGCCGGCGCGATTCAAACGGAACGCTGAGACAGAGGAAGATTTCTCACACGGCGCTTCAACAAAGGAGCTGTGAGTATGCAAAGTTATAAGAACTTTATGCTTGAGGACCTCTGAAATTGATTTAGAAGGCTAGTCTAAATTGAAAAAGACGGACATGCTAAAAAGACCTAATTATTTTCCGGAACTTAAATAAAACGAAGTGAACAAGTAACCGACTTGTCGAAGCTACAAACTTTGGACAGAGCTCATGTTCGGTCAGTACTCAGTAGTCCGACAGTGTGCGGGTTTAGTGTGGGGTTCTCCTGTCCGCTCCTGTATGACGTGACACGACCCACACGTGTATTGTACACGGCGCATGTGTACGGCACGTGCCGCGTGGCCGCTAATCCGACACTGGGCGGCACACCCAGTCCGGGAGCGCTGTGCGCCGCGGCGTGTTTCATGTGGAGCCGGTCGACAGGCGGTCGACACTCCCCACCTTCACGGCACGCCGGAAACGAGCCGGTGGGCGGACCGGGCGAGCCCCACCGGGCGACAGCGGACTGCGTGACAAATTTGACGGGGGCGGAGACGCACCTCTCTAAATGCAGAGCACGGCGCGAAGGTCAGGGCGGCGCGGAGGGGGAGGGCCGGCGCCGCGCGCGTCACCGCAGTGTGCGGACGTTCTGCGCCGCTCCCATACAGCTGTCAGGAAGGGTGGTGCATGAGGACTGACCCTGCCGACCGCGGCGCCGGCGCAGTGGTCACAAATGGAGCGCAGAGGTCAGCAATGGAGGCCGGTGGCGCCGCGCGGCCGGCCCGACACGGGCGACCCATGGGGGCCGCCGCGCCGCGTGGCAGCCGCGGCGGCAGCCAGCATCACCATGCAGAGCGCGTCGCGGCGATCGCACAAATTTGCCGCGTTATGAGGTCTGTGATTTATCACAGGAGTTACTGTGAATTGTGAGAGGCCACCGCACCGCAACAGCCGGCTCAGGGAATCGGCAACGACAGGAGAAGCTCGAATTGAGAGGCAAACAACTGCCGATGCATCCGTAAAGCGGTACGGCGTTTCAGAGTAATTAAAATGTGAAAATATTGACGCATAATTAAAGCTTTTGCTAGAGTGGCATGTGGGTCGTTTTAAGCAATCACTCTTGATCGAGAAGAATCGAAGATTCCATTATTGTACTAGTATTTTATCTTTGAAGGGATTGGTCAAAGTCGTGTCCCTTCGATTTTTCTCTCCCTGCATTCCTCTTTCCAACTTGGCATCTGTCTATCTCTCATATCTCTGTCTCTTGGTTTGGTTCTTTCGGTCAATAGCGGTATTTTCACATGAAAACGTGTGTGCCCAGTGGCCAGTGCATCCAGAGCTACACTTCGTGGAACCCTGTTAGGGTATGTCGTATAAAATAAGCTTCATTTGCAATATTAATGAGCACTATGCAAAGCGCCGCGACCGGTGAGTAACAGCGTAGCTGCTGTTAGGATCAGTCAGTCATGCGATACTGAAATATCACGAGCTTATGCAGGGCGCCACAATGCTGATACACTCCTTACCGGGAAGAAACAAAACGCTCCCACTCCCTGGGGCCTCCAAGAAGTCGTATAACCACCGCTCTCCTCTGGTTTATGTCCCACTCCACCCCGGGTCGGCGCGCCCTTAGGTACTCACTGCGGGTCCTTGACCAGACAGCGCCGGATGAAGTCTTTGGCCAGCTCGGAGACATCCTCGAACAGCTCGTCGGGAAAGTCGAGCTCGGCGCGCGAGATGTTGCGGAAAGTGTCCGTATCCGTGTCGCCGCCGAACGGCGTGAAGCCCGTCAGAAGGACGTACGCCAGGACACCGACAGACCTGTAAGAGGGAGAAATGTCGGAGTTAGTCGGGAATGTTGCCACAGAATGGCGCAAAATCCCTAAGATAGTACGCCGGCACATGTTGACAGACCTACACAGGGTAGAGAGGGGTGAGTCGGGATCAAAGGGCGACTACATTGGCTCACCGACAACCAGTTGATATCAGTTACGGTGTGATTATGACATCAGTATACATAAGATGACTGAGCTTCATCGGACATCTGAATGGTCTAATCTAGTTGTGAGCCACGTGAAGATGGCACAATGTTGAGACACCTTCCCAATATAGCACGGACGATAACCCATTTGGAGATGGGTAAGGCTCTGTTACGCACGTCAAAACATGGCATCTCGATTAGCAGTGTGGTAATGGCGTAATCCCGCCCGCCATAACAGCCGTCACTCTGGAGCTCAGCCAGCAGAGTGACTGGCACCTTCACGGGACCGGACTCTCATGTCTGATCGCGTGCCAGACGCGACTCGGGCGGGCGACCCGTGACCATTATTCACAAACTCATGATAACCGTGAAAATGCGTTTCGACGCGCATAATCTTACGCAAGATGTGGATGATCTCGAAGAATAAACGGGTTAAAAAGTTGTACAAACTTTGAAAACACAAGGTGACTTTTGCTAAAACAAAAGTTACCTTTTGTAATAGCAAAAGGACCAAAGGTGACAACTTTGAACTTTTTGTCACATTTTGCAGTGACAAAACGTTGAATACGTGTGTCAAGTATACACGTATAGGGGAAGTTGGGGCAATGCCGGAGTTGGGGCAAAGCCGAAATTCGAGATATTTCTAAAACCGTACGACATGGATGCCACGTCTCAGTGATGCTCTGAAGCTTAAGTGACTACAATTATCGCATGTTTGTTATGAGTCGTCATTTGGAATACTTCGGCTGTGAGGGCGCCAAAAGCGTTTTCAAGGTACGTTTCCCTTGTACTACATGCGCCTTTGAAGCTGCATTTCTTACTCATTATGCTACCGTTTGTCTGGCCAATTCGGTCAAGGAATCTTCAGCATGTCTTTGCATAAGTGTGCTGCCTATTTGAAATTTATACAGCACGTTTAAAAGTTATGGGCCTGCAAATGAAAGTATGGCTGGCTGGGGTAATGCCGAAAACGTGCAATTACGCACGTTAAAGCACGCTACGTGGACTTTACTGCTGTAGAATAGCAACGCGCATTTTTAGTCAAACAAATTACACTTTCAGCCGGCACAACGGCCTGTTACCTATAAGGAATGATTTACCTGGCATTATCTTATTATATCACACAATTATAACTTCCAGTGTGCACCAAGCGTCCTCAAGCTCTTAACCCTAGAACGCCTAGGGGGGGGTTGTATCAACCCCCCCCCCCCTGAGGTTTTTTCGAAGTGCACGCTAAACGGCTTGTCGTAGCGGGCTGAAATTTTCAATACCCTCTGGGGCAACCTTTGCGCATCTTTTGCCGAAAAAAAATTGATCGGGTCATGTCAGGTCACGGAGTTATGACGTCATAAGAGGTACAGCCTCCGGCCGACAGTTACCAAACGTGTGCGCCGAATCGCTAGGTTTTCTGCCGGTGATACCCACATTGTTTGATGGATCATGATGAAACTTCCCATGCATGTTGGGGCAAGCATTGGCTATCGTGTGGTGCAAGAAAATTGACCGGGTCAGGTCAGGTCACGGAGTTATGACGTCATAAGAGGAACAGCGTCCGGTACTATTTTTGAAAAGCGCCCGAACCACTATTTTGCTAATTCTTGTCACCTCAATGGGAATATGCAGCAATATTAGCTTCTATAAGGAGCAAATGGACCTTCCAAATCCAAAAATACAATCAGATTTCAAAAATTTAAATTTTGATTTTTCGAATTTCTGCCGCCGACTGTGACCTTGCCGACTTCCGGCGCTCCCAACGCGCCATTTTTAGAGCTAGGGAAACGAAATACATACCAAACGATAGAGAATTGATCAAGGAACACGATAGTGAAGGTTTCAAGTCGATATCTCCCACCGTTTTGCCGCAATCGCCGCGGAAAGTTGAAAAAGTCTATTTTTCCGAAAATTTGACCTTTGACCGGTCAAAAGTAGGTCAAATGTTGACCTAGGACCAAAAAATATACCACCAATCGCGAGATCTCGTTGAGAGCAATCCTTTGTTTTTTTCCCGCTAAGCTCTACGACCTTCCGTTTCGAAACGCCGGGGGGGGGGTCGTAACAACCCCCCCCCCCCCTGGTCGTTCGTGTTATGAGAAATGGCCTGGTCGTGCGAGGGTTAAAACGCGTGTCAGCTTTGATGAATTTTGGATAAAGTTTGAGATAAATTGGCAAAACATTAATGTCGGCATTCCTCGTAGATCATTTATCCCATTTTCGGCTTTCCCCACAGTCCGGGGCAACGCCGAAAAAGTCAGTTCTTTGATATTTTTAGTTTTTGCGCTTAACGGTATGCAAATTCATCAAATGCGCCTGGTATGTTTGAAAGACAAAAGACTGGCCTCTCGAATGACGCCAACAAGAATAGCTTATATTGTCTACCTTGCGTGCTACGGGCGTCAGAAAAAAAGTATTCGGCGTTCCCCCAACTTCCCCTACACAGATATACTGTTGCTGTACCTACTTATGAGTTTATATAGCCTTGGGTGAACCACACCACACCCTTTGACAGCGTTTCACAAGAAAATTTTTACTTTTCTCCAGAAACATAAACCTCACTCGCCTTCTGAACTGTTTACGTGAGCTTCGTCGACCCAGTGCTGTTCCATGCATTGTTTTCCTACGTGACCGACAAACACCTACGATCAGGCTCCACAGTCACGGCTGACGAAGAGGTTTCGCCGAACTCGACCCTGAGGTCAGCAAAAACAGTTGATAACACCTGTATTCAACGAGAGCTAACTACCGAGCCCGGGCGGGCGGGCGCGGCGCCTGATTTAGGCCAAGGAACGCGCCTTTTCACTGCTGGCAGAAGCTAGACCGCCGGCGCCACACATAAGGCGAACATTATAGATTTAGAGGGGTGCAGCTAAATTTCATTAACAACAAAATTAATTTGACTGAATGACTGAATGTATGAAATCGTAAAACATATGGAAAACTGTTCCTTATTCCAAGTGAAACTTCCACTGCGAGACCCGCATCGACGCGGTGCACCCAGACTGATCTCTACGCTTCACGGATGCTGCAGTAGCGCCGGCGGCACTCACGTATAGTGATTCAGGCTCTCAGACGGTCATACAGTCGCGGCACGGCGCACACGGGCACGCCCTGGGCCCGCGCTGACCATGGGGTCGCGGAACGGCCGCCACATCACCAAAAAAGGTAACTCGGACGCACGACCGGCGGTCGCGTCTCCATTAGTTATTACACCGCCTGCTTCCGTGTGGAGTCAACGCACGCAACCAATCTCATTTCATGATTAGCCAGCTCGTTACCAGAGCCATCGCACTTAAAGTTACAGCGTCATATCACAAAAGCATTTAACATTGTTAACCTTCCGCACGTGATAATGAGCGTATGTTCAGAGCTCACAAGCGTATATCCGGTTCCGTAGTTCTTCACAAGCCTGCCTCCGCTTTACTAAACTTCCTTGCGTCCTTGTTGCGTCTGGCATGTTGTATGACACGGTGACGGGACCGATACACAGAACTTCAGTCGCTTTATCGCGTGACCGGTCCTCGCGGAACGGACTCCGCGATTGGCGGGTGTATTTTTATCGTCGGTCAGTCATCGACCGCCGGCGGGGAATGACAATGTTTCCTCGGGCCTGTCAGCGAGCGGGCCAATGGAAGAGGGGCACTCGAGACGGTGACGGCGGCAACGCCCCGCGGCAAAGGCATTCTAGGTGAGACTGCGACATTGGACGCACATATAGGGACGAACTGACTGACGGATCGACGGACCGACAAGTCAGTTCTGGCTGACTAACTGACCGCCAACACCCGCGGGTGGTGGCGTTGGAAGTCACAGGAGGTCAGGTCATCACACTGGGGAGGGTCTGACAGTCGCTCGATGGTCTGCGACTCTGCGTGATAGGTGTGATGGTCAATCATCACCTGACAATTCTGCACGTCAGCTACGGTGTTTATCGAGGGTAGTGTAACGAGGACCAGCTGTCACAACTGAGGGATGTAGCAGGTGTCATGGTCATTGGTCACACCCAAACAGACACGCCATGGACAACAAACTGCGTATTATGCTCAAAGATGTAGTGCACAGCATATGCATATTTCTATTGATCATTGTCTGTGGTGTCTTACCTGTTTGCCGCTGGTCGTCTCAGAATATCTGAGCGCTACGCTCTTCAGTGTTCTACATTTATGGTGAACATTTAAACAGCTTTCAGTACGATATTTTCACCATATTATGGTTCAGTAGACGAATGGCTAGCACTGGAGCCCAAAAGCTTCTCTGGATTGAGCGTCTATGTTTGGAAAACACAGCCTTTCTCCCTCACTACCATATTTACATAGAATATTTTCGAGACGTTTAGGTGAGCGTTCGTGTCGCCCGTTCACCGCCCCCAAAGGACAGCGTGACAGTTTCTGACGATACCATCTACCAATTAGACGCATGCGTGACTGTATAATCATTTTTAGCTTCTGTGTATTGCCACCGAATGTCACCTTTCCCCAAGGCAAAACCTGGCGTAAAACACGATCAAACTTTTCAGTTTTTTGTTTCTGTCTACGAACCGATTTGCTCGGTGCGAAAAACACGGCGGCGGAGGTCCTAACGGAGCCAGGTTAGAGCGACGCGGCGGTAATACATCCATTGGCGGCGATGGGGAACGGCTAAAAATCGCCGTATCGTCCGGGCGTATCGGCCGGTCCGGGTACGGCTATCGGCCGATCGGGCGGCGCCGGTCGTTTGTCAAACGGGCCGGCCGGCCGGCGGGAGACGGTGGGGAGAAGGCACTGCGGCGGTCTGCCGGCAGGGCAGCAGCAGAGGCCCTCCCCGGGTCAGAGTGTGTAACTGACTGCAGTTCTGCGTAGCGCAGGGT